GCAGTTCCACACGAGAGCTGTGGGACCTCGCAGTGGAGGGGTGATGGCACCATTTACTGAGTGTCTGTCGTGCCCTGGGATCAGGCACTACGCATATATTATCCCCCCACAAAATCAGAGAATCTGTGCTGTTTGTTTTTTGGGGGTGGGAGAGGTCAATAACTTTATTTCTTAAAAGAGGTCTGTGATGAGAGAAAAAGAAAAAAACAAACAAAAAAACACCAAACCCACAAGGGGGTGGGGTGGGGCTGGGGAAGTAAGGCAAACTGTACTAGGCTGTCAGCCAAGAAAAGGTGGAAACTGTTTCTCTACCAGTTTTAAGTGCTTGCAACTGAGCCTGGCCCCAGTAGGCACTCAATAAATAGTTGTTGAATAATGGCATGTATTATATCTTCATAATAGTTGCATTAAATAGATATTGTTTTGCACATTTTACAGAGATAAAAATACTGAGTCTCAGAGTGGTTAAGTCACACAGCTGGAATGTGGCAGAGCTGTGATTTTAGATGTTAAGTGTGTCTAAATAGTCCCTGTGCTTCACTAGACTAAAATAGAGGGAGTGGTAGGAACATATTAATATTTATCTTCTCATTCTCTTTTGAACGGTCACTCTCAGTTGCTCTATATTTGATTTTTTTGGTGGTTATATTCATATTTTTAATATTGATATAATGTCAGAGTGGCAGAAAAGTTCAGAGTGTGAACAGTTCTCAGACCCTTTACCCAGATTTGTAGGGGTATATTCTTGGAAAGGGCGATTTGTGAGCCTGTGGGATTGGGCCACACTCCTTTAGCACAGTCTGGGCCACTCTGCACGAGGACTCCTGAGTACCTGTGAGGTCGGGTGTGTCCCTTCTGAGAAAGTTCACTGGTGAAAAACCAGTGATGTGACCCCACCCAGGAGCTGAAGCTGACCCAAGAGCAGCTCTCCAGGGCTCGCTGGTTGAAAGTACAACGGAGTTTATAACTTTGTGTGGAAGAACTCTCCCTCTGAGAAACTACTGTAGAGTTTGGGGAACATAAGACAAAATTGACTTATAAAAAGATGACTTTTAACTTACCAAACAGATACTCAGGCGTGGCATCATACCCTCACTGGCTGCCAAGAACAATAAACAAGGCATTATTCACAGACGGCTGCTCCCAGTGCCTGCCGTTTCCTCTCCTCCCGCCACAGCGAAAGGCTAATGTTTGCCATTCCACACCTGCCACACCATTTTTTTTAAAAGCACTTCCTTCTTGCTTTCACCTTTTTACCTGTTGCAGCTACTTCGCCCCTTCTGGGTTGCATGTTCTTCTCTCCCTTTCCCCTGCTGATTCCCAGAGACTGTGGTTCTTATTAATATTCAGTGTATTTGGAGGAAAGAGGCGAATTCTTACCTATGAGAGCGGAAAGAAGGGTCTCTTTTAAAGGAGTAAACAATTTGAAAGTTTTCAAAGTTGGGGGTCTTTCTCTGCTCCAGGGCTTTGTGATTTCCCCCCTGCTGCCGGACTCAGAGAAACAGTGCTTAGTTACCATTTTGGAAACATTTTGTTCTTTGAGAGCTTCCTCACTCCACCTGTGCAGACAGGAAGCACCGTGAGGGTGGGGTGGTGTCTGCCTTACCAGGGCTGACTTCTCCACACTTAGGGAAGTGCCTGGCACACGGGAGAAGCCCAGCAATGAATGGTCAGGCCTTGGTGTATGATTGCTACATTAGTTGTCTTAAAAAATACAGCTTCATAGCCCTTTAGGTGTGTTTTAGCTGCTTTTCTGGGATTTACTTTCCAGGTGATCTTTTAATAATGAGATGATTACCCTGAAAGGGATTTTGGAGATCCTTGGGTCCAACTCTTTTCCGCTACTGCTGTTGCCTTGGTTTTTAATCTCTGAGAAGGAAAGATGATTGCTAACGTAAGAATGTCTGAATTATCTATGTGTGGATGAGCCAGGGAAAATTTCTCTCTCCAGACTGGCTTGGTCTTTTGATTTTCCAAAAATCAAAAGAAAATCAAAAGAGCAAGCCCGTGGCCTGCCGATGTGAAGGGGCCTGAGGATGGGTGTTACAGCGCCAGCAAAACCTACAATTAAGAATTGACCAGCTTTACTTAACTTGTTCCTTGCTCTTAATCACTTCATTCTTGGGATTCTCACGTAAGTGCTAACCCCTAGCATGTATATACGCAATTAGCCGTCCCTGCGTTTTTAGTGGTGAGGCTTCGGTGAGCCCTCAGATGGAACCATTTTGTGACCCTTGGTCACGCCAGTGAAAGCAGGGTCAGATCTTTGCAATCAGATCTTGCTAGGCCAGGAAGCACCTAGAGGTGATCTGTTCTAGTCCCTTCATTTGGTAGAAAATGAGGGAACAGGCTCAGAAAGGTTAGTAAGCCCGGGGCATGGGGTGAGCTGGTGCCAGGCTCAGGAAGAGCCCAGGTGTGGCTGGAGTGGAGCACAGTGGAGTGGTTCCACAGCACCCTTTTGCCCTGCCAGCTTCCCATCCCTCATCTATGAAGTTGTAAGTCCCTTATTATACACTTTTTAGTATATGCTTTGAAGAGTCTTTGGACACTTAATACTTAAAAATGAATGAAGAAATCGAGACTACTTCATTTTCTGCTTCAGCTATGTCCAGTATGCAGTTGTGGATTGGAGAGAGCAGGGCAAGCAGAGAGATGCGATGCATGTTTAAATTTTCCTTGGAAAATTTAACTGAAGCTTTCGAAAAGTTATTTTAAGGCCAGGTGAGGTGGCTCACACCCATAATCCCAGCGCCCACTGGGAGGTCGAGGCGGGAGGATCACTTGAGCCCAGGAGTTGGAGGCTGCAGTGAACCGTGATTGCACCACTGCTGTCCAGCCTGGACGACAGAGCATGATCTTGTCTCTTAAAAAAAAAAAAAAAAAAAAGAAGAAAAGAAAGTAGAAAAGTCATTTTAATCCACAGCTTTCCCCCTCTAACCAGTAACACCAAAAATAAGATTGCTTTGGGGTTTTACATTGGCAAATAGAATGCTCCCAAGAGACTCTGAGGCCCCCGAAGCTAGGAAATGAACATACTATCTTGAGCTGATATTTCTCCAGTATGACCCAACACACTGACCCACCAGACTTCGCCAGGACAGTGCTGAAATTGAAATGTTACTGAGATAATTTATAGTCAGCACACCCCTTTGTAGGGTCTGACATCAAAGACGGTGAGGCTTGAATGGATCAAGAGACATTCTATGTACACTTACGTGGTGTGCGTGCAAGTTCTGTCCTAGCCACTCCTGGTGTGTGTCTAGCACTGGCTCATAGTGATGGGGAAAGTGCCTGCTTGGTGAATATCCAGCTGTGAGGGTGGTTTTCAAAGGCTTTATTTTGGGGGGATAAATCATTAATCATTAAGTTTTAGTTACTCTTCCTCTCTTTGTCTTGAAGATTTTTAGGACCTTTCATCTTTTCTGAGTTGCTACTTAGGTTAGAATATGATTATGCAGCCTTTTTTTTTTTTTTTTTTAAGTTTTCAAATGTTTACCCACATCAGAACCTTGGGTTACAAATTCATTGTATTCATTTGTTTTGTTTTTTGTAGAGAAGGGGGTCTTGCTGTATTGCCCAGGCTGGTTTTGAACTTCTGGCCTCAAGCAATCCTCCTGCCTTGGCCTCCCAAAGGGCTGGGCCTGGCCCCAATTCAATTAGTGAAAACAATGCAGAGGACCTGGATTAAAATGGAGCTTGGTCTTTTAACTACTTTCATTGTCCTTGGACAAACCACTTGACTTCTGTAAATCTTGATGTCATCTGTAACTTGGGGATGCTAACTAGCATTAATTAGCTCATTGTTGGGAGGATTAAGCGAGAACTTGAATGAGTACGTAGAGGTCTCAGTGAACTGTGGGTGTTAGTGAGGGTTGGCGGGCTCTGGGATCAGGCTTCAGGTGAGTTCATTTGCTTCCACGGAACAGTTAAGTTTCTTTTGGCAGGTTAGTTTAGTTCTTAGAGCTTAATCTCATCTGGAACCTGGAGTAATAATGCCTATTTGGTTAGGTTGTTGAGAGAATTAAATGCTATACAAGCTAGGTGCTTGGGCAGGGTTACAGAACACTGCACTTTGGCCTTTTATGATCCCGTATTAGCTACTGCATAATGTCTTGCACTAGTCCAGTGCTTCAGACAATAAATTATTGATGAATTTTTCACAGTGATAAAAGGGTTTAACCAGTATTTTCCTCTCCAGGGTGTGGGGAAGCAGAGAGGTGGGGCGAGACCAGAGTGGGTGGGCAGGACATGTCTGGCTACTTGTATCTTGGCATGGGGATTAGTTGGGAAGATAAATTGCCCTCTGGTAGTTGTGTATAGTGTGATAGGTCAGTGATTAGTGCCAGTCAGTAAGCAGTGCCAATTAATATTTATTAACTACTGTACTTTTTGCTGATAAATATTATAAAGCTATAAAGACCATACAGTTAATAGAATTTGCTAAAGAGAAACTTTTGGTTTGTCTTTAAATACTGTTTAAAATAGGCCTGGCGTGGTGGCTCATGCCTGTAATCCTAGCACTCTGGGAGGCTGAGGCGGGTGGATTGCTCAAGGTCAGGAGTTTGAGACCAGCCTGAGCAAGAGCGAGACCCCCGTCTCTACTAAAAAATAGAAAGAAATGATCTGGACAACTAAAAATATATATTTATATAAAAATTAGCCGGGCATGGTGACGCATGCCTGTAGTCCCAGCTACTCGGGAGGCTGAGGCAGTAGGATCGCTTGAGCCCAGGAGTTTGAGGTTGCTGTGAGCTAGGCTGATGCCACGGCACTCACTCTAGCCCGGGCAACAGAGTGAGACTCTGTCTCAAAAAAAAAAAAAAAAAATACTGTTTAAAATAAAAATGGCCAATCTAGCAGGCACCCTGAGAGAATATTTTTGCAGAAGGGAAATTTAGCAAAGACCATTTTGCAAAATAATACTTAATGAAGTATTGCTTCTAGCTGCTGACAAATTAGTCGTATTTGCTATATCCCTAGGAAGACTGTAGTCTGAAAGAATGAGAACCGTAATAGGTGTGGCTGAACTGGGAGAGCTGAAAGTGGGAGAGGGAGAGTTCAAGGTAACGTGTATCTGGTGGTTTTGTGTGGAATGTGAAAAGAATCCTGGCTTATCTGCACTTTTTTCCCTGATTGCTCATGTGTGGCATGGCTTATTTTTCTTCTAGGATGTGGAGAAAGAGAAGGAAACCTGCAATTACCTCAGCAAAGAGGAAATCAAAGAGAAAGTTCATAAATACAATTCAGCAGTCACAGACAAGTTGAAGATGACCTTGGTAAGTACCCATAATACTGTTTAGGTTGACATCTGTCAGAAGACAAATATAAGTTGTTGGTACTACAATCTGTGTGTTTTTAAGTCTCTGAATAACATTTGTAGAAGTTTAGTGGTCAGGGTATGCAGGAAAATGGCATATTTCTGCAGCTTGCAAATCAAATCTGTATTTTGTCTCAGATTCAGTTACTGGGTTAACCTTAAAAAAGTGAAACACTTTCAAATTTTATTTTAAAAGATTTTTTGACATCCTTTCCAAAGGATTTTTAGCATTATTGCCTAACATGTAGATGGTAACTCAGATTGTAACAAAACCTCAGGTAAGTTTTACCTTGTGTAAAATAGATATGGAAGTTATCAGGGAAAGGACTTAGTGCCCATGGCTTGAAATATGGATGTATATAATAGAATATATATATATATATATATATATATATAAAACTGTGGCTAAGACTTTTCTCTCCTAGTTGTCAGGGTAAGATGAGGTAGTAGTTAGTATTCAGCTTCCTATGCGTTGTCCCACACCATTTGGAGCTCAGTGGGGAGAAGGATGTGGGAGGAAGAAAGGTTTGGCAGAAATGAAACAAGAGCTGACAACAAAGCTGGAGTGTTCATGCTTCTCTAAACTGAACTGACGTCTAGGTCTCGCCCACTTGTTTGGTGGCCTTCCTCACAGCACGTGTCATCCTTGGTGCCTGCGTCGCAGTCTCTTGACTGTGAACTGGTGCAGTTTAGTAAAGGACAGGGTCACCCATTTAAAACAGGCCCTACTGGATTCTGTGACCCTTGGGGAGGAACTTTTAAATATACACCCTTGTGATAAAGGATCCCTTCCCAGTGGGACTGTGCCAAAAGGGGGAGGGGGGCAGATGATCCCAGGATGATTATTCTTATTCCACCAGTGATATTTCTTTTTCAAATACAGTTTTCATCAAAGGGGGAAAATTCCACTCCCTATGTTTTTTTTTTCTTTCCCTATGGAGATTAAAACAGATACACGTTTTCCTATTGTTTCAAAGGTAACAATTTTAAGTATTGTACAAAATACTTTGGTATAAGAATCAACAAGTGAATTAATATTGTAAATTGATCTTATGGAAAGGAAGAAAAATAATGGACCATAAAGAAGGTTTTTAATGTTCTACTTTAATTGCAACATTTACATATAAAACACCTGACAATTTGTTTTAATAAAACATTACAATAAATCTTTTCTAAATGTAGCGAATGCAAAAAAAAAAAAAGGTGAAGACAAGACCATTATTACTATTTTTGGCAACTAAGAAATAGTAATTCTACCATAAATTAAGTGTTTATAATATCTGTAGTTTACAAAGGAGCTTGAACTTGTTTTCCTCCCGTGTTATATGGTATATATGCTGTTTGAAAAAGTTTAAGTGAAAATGGTAATCTGGTACGTATTGTTATGGCCACTAGGAATGAAAATAGCCTGTTTCTTACTGTCAACTCATTGTTGACTTAGGGATTTCACAGTCCTAGGTATTTCACAGTCCTAATTGTGACCTTCCTTTTTTGTATATTAGTCATCAGTTGCAGATGTCTTTTCCTTTGAGCATTTAGCCTAGAATACCCCCAAGCTTTAATAAGTTTTGGAGTTTTGCTAGTATCTGCCCCACTGGATTGTAACCTCACAAATGGGCCCTGACCTTTTATTTACAGCTTCAGAGGCTTCTTCAGTTGCCACATCTGCTGGGCAGACCTTGCCTCTGGAAGCACTTCGCAGGGGTGTGTTAACCTCCCTCTGAGGTCATTCCCTTGGGGTAACTTTTTAGTGAAGTTATGCCACCGCAAAGCTCTAAGAGAAAAAAACAAGAGAGTGTTTCACTTCCCTGTTTTGTTTTGATACACTCCTTCCCTAAAATGCCTCTGTCCACTTGGCTAAGTGTGTGCTTTTCTCCCTGCTTCAGAATTCAAATGGGATTTACACTGGCTTCATTAAAGTACAGATGGAACTCTGCAAACCTCCCCAGACTTCTCTGAAGCCTGGAAAACTCGCTCCCAGTAGCAATGGCTGTATGAACACACTTCATATCAGCAGCACAAACACTGTCGGGGAAGTGATCGAGGCCCTGCTCAAAAAGTTTCTCGTGACCGAGAGCCCTGCCAAGTTTGCACTTTATAAGCGTTGTCACAGGGAAGACCAAGGTATGCTTAGAATGAAAATGGGCTCTGCCTCTGCTTATATCTGGTGTCCTCATTAGCAGAAGGAAGACTGGCGGGTGTATCTGTGTCAATTGTGTCAGAGCCTGGAGTCCAGTTCTGGAATCATGGCATGCACTTAATGTTTCCTGGCTGTCTCTGTTTCTGAGTTGGACAGTTGTGGGTCTGAGGAGCTTAGAGGCATCCACGTGGGATGGGCATCTATGGAGGAGTTTGCGATGGGGGAGCTTTTTATTTTTTTAAGAGGAGTGGCTTTGAGTTTAATGCTCTTCAGGACACACAAAAGAATGCCTCTGTGCTTGAAGTTTTTAGTAGCATATTCCACATTTGATGTGCATCTGCACATGGACTGGCTTCGTGGACCTGTGCTCTGTCAGGCCTTGAGGACAGGGAGGTACATGTGTGTCACAGCCCATTTCAACTTACTGATGGAAATGGCCCAGCCCCGTGCTCTTCTGTTTCATTGGCTTCTCTTGCTTGGCATTACACTGGGACATTTTGGCCCCCTTGTCCCCCAGAGGCACGTAAAATAAGTGAATAACGTTTCGATCTGGGTTCTGTCTGTCTGAACTTCCTACCCACATTCAGGGGATAGAAAGAGAATATTAATTACTGCATGAAACTGAATAAGATATTCCAGGTCAGGAAGTTGAGCAGAAATTGATACGAATGGTAGACAGTGGTGATTTAGTGACTCACTATGTGCAGTTTGAAAATGGTGTGTGTGTGAGAGCAATAAACTAAGGTTTTTCTGGTTTTTCTGGATAAAGTCTAAAACAGCTATAAAAGAAAATATATTGACTTTGACATAATACTGTTCTTCAATTATACAGAATGAAACGCAGCTAGTTGCTGGGTGTGCATACATTTTTTGAACACATACCATGGGGCTAGATCCTGTGGAATACAAAGATCAATAGGCTAGAGTTCCTATCTTCCAGAGCCCACAGGCTTAGCAGTGTGGGGGAAGTTTATATTTTCAGGGAAATTGTTACCTACAAGGCAGTTGCATCTGGAAGTGTCAAAATAACAAGCTCAGGTGGCATTTTTATCTTGGCAGCTGCTTTGCCTACTCACCTGGATTTCACCTATATAATCAGAAAGTAATAGCATCCTGTTGAAATATTACCCCCATGGCTGGCAAATCTTTCAACACTATAGGCAACGCCAGTACACTGTTGTGTGTGTATGCATGTGTGAGTGTGTATAGCATGAAACACGTCTAGCTGTGCTTGAAGCCACCAGAGCTTGTATTCTGATTGTTTGGTTTGTTTGTAGTTGCTAATTCTAAATTAATTTGCAGAGAGATTTTCCTTTCGAGCTCTGATTTCATGTTCTTTGGATGGCATATTTTATTGTTTTTAAAGGGGTTTGTAGATCCTTTTTTAGGTTTCTTACCTTGTTTTCTAAAAGGTAGAGCAGGCCTAATTACGAGCGTATTTTGGGACTAATACCCATTTAAATTTATTCTTGAAAACGATTTCCTCCTTAATCAAGGCACAGTTTATTATTGGTCAGAACAGAAATAGAGTAGGTTTCATTCCACTGTGGGCTCTTGGTAATAAGATGAGGAGGTTGGTGACTTGGAGGCTGGGGTCACATGGACTGTTCCCTTGATCTGGAGGAAGGGATCCTATTTGGAGGGGTTGGTGTCAGGAATGGCTAAATGCTCTGCAACATGCTGCTTGTTTTCTTACCCAGTCTACGCCTGCAAGCTCTCAGACCGGGAACATCCACTCTACCTGCGTTTGGTAGCAGGGCCCAGAACAGACACGCTGAGTTTTGTTCTTCGTGAACATGAAATTGGAGAGGTAAGTGATTGTTCGTTATTGCTTTAAACTCTACAGAACAGCTGGCCCTGTTTTATTGCTTTCGTGACTTGACCACTGAGGGGGGAGGGAGACAGATTTTGAATCAGAAATGAACCCAAAGTTAGCCTACAGTATAATTCTCTTACAGCATTATATTGTTCTGCAATTCTCAGAGGTGCGAGAAAATAAAATTTTTTACTTGATCTCCATCCAAAGAGTCATTTTCACCCTTTCCTACCTCCAAATTACTCTAATTCAGCTGAACTTTGAAAGTTGACACTCTCCATATGTTTGCTACTAACAAAAGTCTCCAGGCTAATTCCTTTCTAAAGAGAAATAAAAGGAAATCTGATCTCTTTATCACCAAAGACATTTAACTTTCTAGAATCTTTTTTTTTCCCTTTGTCCAGTCAAATGATTAAGAAATTATGTTTCCATATGCATCATTTGCCATGTTCTCTCCAGGGAGGATTGTATTTAGCCAGTTCAGTAGAAGAAAAAAGCACTTGGGACTGCCCTCTAGATCAAATGTCAACTTTAAAATGACACTTGAGCAAATCTCTAAAGCTCTGTGTCAGTCTTCTGTCTGGATCAGGAAATGGTATGTAATATCCCTGTAGGACATTTTGTGGTACAATGAGAATAGGGTCTCTAGGTTAAAAGTTAGGAAACCAGGACTCTGCCTCTTTCTGTTTATTAGATTGGAAGCATGACCTCTGGTAAATCTTCTAATCTTTCAGCCCTCAGTATTAAAATCTGTAAAGTGGGACTAAACAATTTAAAAGGTGGTTTTGAGTCACAATTAGAAATGTATGTGAACATGCTTTGTAAGTAGTGCGTCTATATATTAAACGTTTATTCAGGGAGTTTCAGAAGACAGTTATTTTAAACATTTTTGAAGTTTCTTTTGATCTTGGTGTTTTGAAGCTTTTGAAGAAATTCAGACTCTCGTTTTGGGGAGAAAGTTACTGCACAAGTCTACTTTGGCTTTGCATCTCTGCGGCTTTCCCTCTGAAAGCTTAAGCCAGACACATTAGCGTAATCCAGTCTGCGTTTTATTTTTCTTGTTCTTGGTCTTTTAAGTATTTCACATAGCTTAGTGCAACTTGAGCTACATTGTCTGGGAAGGAATTACTGTCAAGTTAGTTTTGAAATTTACTTTGCATTATGTTTTAGTGTTCTAGACTGTGGTATGGGACCTCTGTATGGTGTTCTTGTTTCTTAGTTGTTTAAGGAAGACTGAACTGAGGGAAGAAACTTCCCACAGCTGTTACAGGGTGGGAGAGAGAAGGTATTTTATATGATGTCTTTATTTTAGAGACCTCAACATACGTGAAAATAACTAGGGAGTGGAAGAGTGGAATGAGGAAGCCAGGTAGGAGGCTGTCCCAGGGTGCAGGAATAGATGATGGTAGCTAGCCCTAGAGGGCAGCAGAGAGAAAAGCAGGCTGACTGGAGAACTGTTTGGAGGCGATAAGATTGATCGTGGGGGGTGAGCAAGAAGGCCGTGACAATGAGGGCTCTCAAGGTAAGATGGAAGGAGTGTGGAGTTGTTACGGATGCCTCTGGAGGTCACATCAGGAGAAGAACGAAAGTGTCTAATGGACTTCGGGAGAGCCAGCTTGGAGGGTGGGAGGAGCGGCTAGAGGGGTGACTGGAGCAGGCTGGGGCGGACCACGCCTTCGGAGGCTCTGGGCTGGGAGGGAAGGGCAGCCACACCTCCATGTGGCCGGTCAGCATTCCTAAGTCCTGCCTCTGAGGTAGACTCCCGGCGTTTTTCTGTTTGTGTTCTCTGACAGTGGGAAGCTTTCAGCCTTCCAGAACTACAGAACTTCTTGCGCATCTTGGACAAGGAAGAAGATGAGCAGCTACAGAACCTGAAGAGGCGCTATGCGGCCTACAGACACAAGCTGGAAGAAGCCCTCAGCGAGGTGTGGAAACCCGACTAAAGGGCCTGGCTCTCTGGCAGCGAGGCGCGGTGCAGGACCCGCGTACAAAACAACAGCAAGTGCCTCACCTCTCGCAGGGCTGTTTTCTTGCCCTTCGATCTCTAGATGTAGTTCTCCAAACCTGGTCACGCAGCATCCTGCACCTTAAGCGTCCCCCGTAAGGGAGGCTGCAAGCTTGTTCTGTTACAGCACCGCGGTGTTACCTCTCGGCAAGCTGTGAACTGTAGTCTCTTCGGGAGCATTCTAGAGTGCTTGGGAGCATGAACTCTGGGGTTTTTTGTTTTGTTTTGTTTTTCGTCCTTAATTTTCTTTTGGTTATTTTAATTATGTGATGATGATGTTAAGCTTAAGGTTGTGCAAATGATTTTTTAAAAGCTTAACTAGGAATCTCTCTGAATACTTGTCCTATTTGGAAACTACCTGTCTGTTTTGTTTTTTTTAAATGTCAGAGGAATCTATCCATATGAATTGAAAGGCACAGGAATCTAGGAACTCTTAAGAAATTTGTGAAGGATTTTGTAGCATTTCGACAAAGAAAGTAAAAGCAAGTTTGGAAGAAGGCATGTGTCGTGGTGGAGCGCTCAGGGCTGGGGAAGGGGCTTGGCTAGTAAGCTGAAGGTAGAGGAGAAAGGGGTAGTTGCTTAAAAATGAATTAAAAGCATTCAGTGTTGAGGTGTTACACCCATTTCAGGATTGCTTGATTTCCTGGTAAAATGTGGGAACAGAGCCAAAGAGGCAGGAGCTAAACCAAAAGGAGGGACCCATGAACTCTGCAGTTGACCAGAGAATCAAGCAGGTGGATCTTCAAAATCTAGGTGGTGGGGGGCCTGGCGCTGCTGGATCTGCCCCCGATTCTGCCTCTTGGAGCGGAAGGTGGAATCGGTGTAGCTTCTGTGCATAGGCAGGGTAATGGCCACGTGCTAACCCCTGTCGGGTTACATACAGTATATAGTTTTTCCCCTAGAGGTGGTTTCAAAGTTGAAAAGCAATTTGGGTAGGAGCAGCTACTTTTCCTTTGATTGTTAGCTAGGGGGTTTATCAAGTAAAGGGCTCACAGCAAACTTTTGGACAATCACTCCCTTCCTTTTTATTCCTCTTTTTCTTTTCCTTGTTTTCCCTTTTTTCTTTCAGTTCCCTCCCTCCCTCCGTCCTTCCCTCCCCTCCCCTTCCTCTCACTTCTTTTCTTTCTCCCTTTCTCTGACACGTTGGAGGCTGCTCTTACCTAATATAGAACAAGGATGTTGCATAAAGACCCAGTCCTACCAGATCTTCAGTTCTGAAGGGCAGCTTGACTGTGAGTAGGAGGGGCCCAAGAAGGGGAGCAAAGTCTATATCTGGCTGACCACACAACAGGGGTTCATCACGGAAATATTTTAACAAAAGTACATGTTCCTGCCATCCAAAGAAATGCATGTGCAATAGAAGCCTTCCTTAAAATAGGCGAAATACCCTTGTTTTGTGCAGCCATTTATCTGAGAACAGAGGGCCAGGGGTGCTGTGGTTCCAGAGGAGCCTTACATTCTGTTTTTAGTCTAGATATTTTTTTGTTTATAAATTCCCAAGGAATTGTTAACACTTTGGTGACACCTAATGGATTCTTTTTGAAATTCCAAGGTGCTTCAGTTCTTTGCCTCTGAAGTGAACTGTGCCTTTTATTGCATTTCTGTTCCTCTCTTGGTGGTTCTTCTGACTTTTCAGAGAATGCCCATCTCGTTGGAGGCAGATTTAAGTGTCGGTTATGCTGTGCCACACAATTTACTGAGACAATCGTATCTTCATAAGCTTTTAAGGAACGTTGGGGGAAAAAAGTAGAACTAGCTTATAAAATATGTATGGCACATCTTGTTTAATTTTGCATGTAACTTCTTTTTAGTGCATTGATGAGGTTTTAGTGACATTGTTATCCTGTCCAACACTTTACCGTTATTGTTCAGGGAATGCCTTTGTGATTTTTATACCGGTTTTACTATTCAGACTATGGCTTGGGTTTGAGTATACTGTTATCAACCACCTGGTCTTTTAATTACTCATTCCAGTAAACTTATATTTTGTGAAGCATTTGTTTTTCAGATTAAGACACTGTTAGAGCCTAAAGTAGTAGCTGATGGGTATCTGTGAATTTTTTTTTTTTTATTTACTTGAAGTAGATTGTCTAAAATAGGCATCCTCATCTGTATTTATCCAGAACCTCACTCACTGGCATGTGCACTACAGGTTGCAATTTGGAAAACTTACTGTATTGAAATTCTGTCAGTTCATGGTTCTTGAAGACTGATATTCTTTTCTAAACACTGGTTACTACAGCAGCATTTTTAATGTGTAAAAGAAGAAAAAAAGGCCATAAAGTCCAAATATTTTTAAAAATCATTGTACAAATCCCTATTAAACTGTCTAAGCTTTGCCGTAATACTGTTTTCTCTTCAATATATGTGATGGTACAGGAAAGAAGGTAAATAGAGGGGTAGTATTACAGGGGAGCATTTTAAATTGCTGAAGTAAGGAAGTTATAATATTTATAATTTTGATGAGTTTAAGTTTATTTTTATGGGGAAGGTTTTTCTCCCCTGAATTGTTTCTGGAATGACAAAATTATTTCCATTATTAAAAATTAAAGTTGTTAGCTCATATTTGTGTGTTTTTATTTATGATAATATGCTAGATAAAAAAAAAGAAGGTCGGCCAGGCACGGTGGCTCACACAAGTAATCCTAGCACTCTGGAAGGCCGAGGTGGGAGGATTACTTGAGCTCAGGAGTTCGAGACCAGCCTGAGCAAGAGCCAGACCTCATCTCTATTAAAAACAGAAAAAATTAGCCGGGCATAGTGGCGCATGCCTGTAGTCCCAGCTACTCGGGAGGCTGAGGCAGGAGGATCGCTTGAGCCCAGGAGTTTGAGGTTGCTGTGAGCTAGGCTGACGCCACGGCACTCTAGCCTGGGCAACAGAGCCAGACTCTTGTCTCAAAAAAAAAAAAGTTCACAGGTATGGGACGAGCTGCTTTTGCAGATACCCCAGGATACGTGCTGGAATACAACTTTTACTAGGTTCGGGTGGGTCATATTTGTTTTCCCAAATTCATTTTTCCTTTGCCTTATCCTGTGGGGAAAAATAACCCTTACTGAGTGTCTGCTCATACAGCACATTCCTATTTTACGTGAAACAATTGTTTTAATTGTGAAATATACATACATTCAAAAGTATGTAAAGCCAGACATGGTGGCTCACACCTGTAATCCCGGCACTTTGGGAGGCTGAGATGGGAGGATCGCTTGAGGCCAGGAGTTCAAGACCAGCCTGGGCAATATGGCAAGACCCCATCTCTACAAAAGAGAGTGAAAAAATTAACCGGGCATTCCCAGCTACTCAGGAGGCTGAGGAAGGAAGGTTGCTTGAGCCTGGGAGTTCCAGGCTTCAGTGAGCTATGGTTGTACCACTGCATTTCAGCCTGTGTGACAGAGTGAGACCCTGTCTGAAAAAAACAAAGAAACCCAAAAGTGTATAAAGCATGCAGACAGATTAAAGAATTATTATAAAGTGGACACCCTGTGGCCACTACCAAAATATAGATGTCAATTCTTTAGAAATCTCTTTGTGCCCTCCTTCTTGCCCTGAAGTCTCCTGCCCTTGAAACAGAGGACTCCAGCATAAAGTGAGTATTTGTATTTTGGGGTCAACACAGATGGGTTGGAGAGTGTTTGGGGAACCTAGTAGCTAAGGGTTTCCGTCCTGTGTGCGTGCCAGGGCTTTCTGGGGTTTTGCCTGCGAGTCTCTTGTGGGGACATGTTTTTACTACTATACTGCCCCCTGGAGGGGCTGCTGGAATAGCAAGGCTGGCACCGAGTCATGAGGGGGACTCTTTCAAAGAGGATAGCTGCTTTGTAAGTGACAATGTGATAGAAAATTATGGTTCTGTGTAGTTCTCCTTTCTTGCTGAAATATTCAGACGAATTTAGTCTGGGAGTTTAGCTTAGGTTACTACCCAAGGTGCAGGGGAGTGTTTTGGAATTTTTATCCCTTAAAGGGAGTTTGCTTTCTGTTTCTAGGCTTCTTTTCAGAATTTGTCATCAGTTGATAACTGTTATTGAAATAAATACTCATGTGTTGCAAAATCAGTTCTCAAGAATTGTATACTGTGTTTGGGACACTGTCAGATGATCCTTATTAGGTGTTTTGTTTTATTGGAAGAAGGGGATGAAATCTCCATACTATATTAGCCAGTGCCAGCAAAATATGTATTAACTTACGTAATAATCACCCTTGAGGTAGGCATTATTCGTATCCCCCTTCACAGATAGGAAACACCCATCGAGGTTCCGCAGCTTGCCCAAGGCCACTGTGTGCGTGAGTGGCAGAGCTGGGAACTGCCCAGTTTCTCCACCATCTAGTTTCTGTAAACTCTATCCAGTTTTTCAGTTTAAATGCCTGTTAATTAAAAGATCAAGGTTGGTCCGAAGGCAGTGAATTATCTCGATTGTTCACAGGTACAGCTTGAACTCCTTGTTCTACTCTTCCTCCCTTTCTCACTACTGCACTTGACTAGTCCTAAAAAAAAAATCAAAAAAAAAAAAAAGCAAAAGCCTGTTAGATTGCCTTGAATGGGCAGCTCATCTGAAAGCGGGCCTGTTTTGGTGTAGTTGGGCTCTGTTGATGTCAGAGTGCTTTCTCATCCATTGTTGTTCATTTATCATTTCATTTAGGTGATTATATGTAGAACGAAACGCCAACCTGTGTTTTCATTTAGAGATTCTGTTGCATGGGAGAAGCTGACAGCACAGGTAACCAAACGCGGTGTTCTCGCTGCCAGACAATTCCCTTGGAACCTCCAGAAGAACAGCTTCAGGGAGAAGTCAGAGCTCTGTAGGAGCCAGGAAACATTTAACCACCTCTCAATCAAGAATTGTGCTCTCCAAAGGAACGCAAGGAACTGAGTATTCAAAGTCTAAAATGTACCACTTGTCTGTTTTGAATCACTACTTGCTTAATTAAATGTGCAAGGAAGAAGCTCTGTATGAGGATAGAGGGAGCGGGGCAGAAGGCGGGTGACAACGGCAGGGGAGGGGGCGACTGCCAGGCTTATCTTACTAACGACTCTGGCCAAATGCATTTATTCCATCTGCAGGGTTGGGCTTGGGTTTGGGGTTTTGTGTTTTGTTAGTTTGGTTTCATTTGTTTTGTTTTGTGGCAGATCTTTCCCTATTAATTCTAGGAGGTGAGAATGGCAGGGTAGAAGACAGACCCTTTGATCTTAAATAGTCATTTCCAAAATGCTGCTGTGATCCTCATGTGTTTGGCTGAGGCTGCACTTGGCAGCAGCTGGACTCCAAAAGCTCCTTTCTTCTTCCTGTTTCTGAGAAATGTGAGCATTGGAACCTTCAAATGTTTACACACAAACAACAAAACATCAGGACCCTTTGTAAACTTCAAAAGAATTGGGATTTGGCTTCGTTTTGGGGAGGGAGTTCTTTTAACCAGTAGAGTTCATTTTTTTCTCCTTCTAAACAAGGAGTCCTGGTTATAATGCACCTTGGTCGTTAAGGACGCCTGTCTGGTTTGTGTTTGCCTGCCACGTGCACTGCGCTCAGTTGAGCCACGCTTTGTGGACGTACGGGATTCATTAAGCCCCGTGGGGTTCCTTTCTCTGAAGTGGAGTTGTAGGGGGCTCTGCAAGGAGGCTTTTCCATTTACAGGTGCAGTAAAATTTTCTTAAATTCTAGAAATTCTGGGCAGCAAGTCTTGCCACACTTAGAATTCTTGCATTATTACTTTTGCAGGCGGGGAGGCAACAGCTTAAATTCAGACCTTTTGCTCAGAATTGTAAGTGGTATCTTCAGGTACTTTTCAGAATGGCAAACATTTCAAATATTTTTCTTGCATGTGTGATCTCTGCAAGGAAAACATTCAAAGTCAATTAATTTTAGGTAAGATCGAGCATATCATCTAATGCCTTATCATTAAAAGATGCTTGTCTAATAATGTAAGGGCAACCAAAGAAATTGAGGAGCTTGGGTTGGGCCTTCAGAAAGGTCCGAGTTCTGTTGCTTTAATGTACATAAAATTGTTACGGGAGTTTGTGTGTGCTGGGGCAGGGAGTGGGCTCCAAGGGAGATAACCAGTTAGTGTGTAGG